CTTAATTTGTCCATCAAATTAAAAAGAAAAAAAGCAAACATATTGATGGATATAGTAGGCTTGTTTGGCAATTATTACCAAGGATTGAAATATGTCATCGAGAAGATCTGATAACTGCCCTCTGTGGTGTTGCCCTCTTGATGATGCTCACGGTGGGTTTTGCTTTTTACCTTTGACGTCGTGACTCTATGTTATGAATTTCTTCTCTGGTCATACCTACTTAGGATTCTAAATGCTTCTGGCATTCAAATGCGGTTTTCTTACTCTAGTTTTGGGAAATTTCCTGTTGTCATTTCTTTGACGGTCCTCTGTTCTTTCTTCTGTTCTTTGTATTCTTGTTTTTTTTTTCCTCTCTCTCTCTCCATTTCAACTTCGTTTATTGTTTTGTGGGGTGTGCAGTGTCATGAACATGCAGCTGAATGCATGTGTAGGTCAGAGGACAACTTCATGGAGCTGGTAAACCTTCATGAGGGCTTTGGGCATCAAACCCGCGTTGCTAAGCTTGTGCAGAAGTGCCCTTACCCACTGAGCTTCTCACTGGCATGGTTCTGTCTTTGTGTCAGCAAACGTCATGGTCATGCTATCCCACCCCCATTTGATACTCTCCTTATTGGTACAGTGTTCTATCAACCTGTCCTGCTGTTCTTCCTTGTGCTTGGTTGGGCCTATTTATGCTTTCCATTGTGCTTTTTTATTTGATTCATTTGAGTTTTTCACTTTCCAACTCTCTTATATTTAAATCTCAATTTTCTTGCTGGAGTTTTCTTTCATGTTGCTGACCTTTTTCAACCATACAGCTGATTTCTTATCCATATTCTGACACTTTCTTCTCTGGGTCTGGATTGAATTCATCTTCTTGTTTGTATCCTCTCATGGGATCAGTATACCAGAATCTATAAGAAGGAATCAAACGGAAGCCATTTTGAGTAAAGCTTCCATGTAGGGGTCAGATAAAGTTAAAGCTCTCAAGACTTCCCTGGGTAACTGAATCCTGCTTGGCAGAGAGAGACATGTATATGGGAAACTGACATCCTCATTGGCCAGTTGAGACACAAATGCTAGGCAAGCCGCCCTGGCACAGATGAATCAACCAACCAATGAGAACAACGAACTGGTCTTTGGAAAGTTCCCTATTCCTGAATCCTGATTGGTGGAAAAATGTAACTGTAACTTGGCACAGATGTTTGTGGTTTATAAGCTTTAAAGCTCTGTAACATTCTGGTAGTGTGGGAAGAGGGGGCTATCACTGTTCAACTCCTGAGTTGGTTCTGTATCCCTTATTAATCAGTAGTGGCCTGATTACAATAAATTTTGTTTTGTTTTTTGTTTTTTGTCTTGACCCGGTGGTTGGGTTGTGCTGGACCTAAGCAGACCCCCATAACAAAACCTTTGAAATCTTCATCTGAAATTTTTCTTACTTCTACATCTTTCATTTCAGGAATTGAGGCTTCTAGATTTGGGGAGTAGGCATGTAATCTTCTCAATGATACTCAGGAGCAGATAAACTCCTGTGCCAGAAACATCGACAAATAAGATATGGAAACACATTTTCAGTGATATATTTGTGTGTGTGTGTGTATGTGTGTTATCAACTTGACAGTATCTAGAATTAACTCAGAGATAAATCTCTAGGCAACCTATGAGAGATTTTCTAAATTAGGTTAGTTGAGGTGGTAAAAACTAGAGTGACTGCTTGACTGATTGTGGATGCAATGTTATGTGTTGTCTCCCGTTCCTTCCATCATGCCTGCCTTGTCACTGTGGAGTATTTCTTAAACTGTGAGCCAAACCAAGCCCTTCTTTTCTAAAGTTGCTTTTGTCAAGTATTTTTCCAGTATGGAGATAAGTAAATAATGCAACACTCAAAACCGATTGCACTTCACTAATATGTTTCTGTCTCTGCCTCTCTCTGTCACCCTATCTGTCTCTGTCTCTCTCTCTCTCTGCCTCATGGTTGTTTTATCCATTTACATTTACCATGTAAATTCTCAGCTCTTGCTCCAGGGCCTTGCCTGCCCATCTGTTGCCAAAACTCCCACCATGATGATCATGGACCCTAATCCTTTGTAACTGTGAGCTCACCAAATTAAATATTTTCTTCTATAAGTTGTCTTGGTCATGGTGTCTTATCACAGAAATAGAAAAGTAACTAAGACACAGTTAAAGAGCAGAAGATGGGGGGGGAGAGAGAGGGGAAGAAGAAATAATTTCCCAATAGTAGGAACTTTCAAAAACAAAATTAGATAAAGGTAGGAAGGAGAATAATAAATAAAACTATCAATATTTAAGGAAAACAAGGTAAAGTCAAAGTACCACCAAATGTAAGTGATGGAGAAGAAGGAACTACAGTGGGCAAAAAGAAAAAGAAAACTATAGAGAAAAGGTGCTCAACAGTGGGAAAAAAACAAGCAAAATTAGATAAACATATGAAGGGGAAACAAAAACATTAAAAATATAACTGCTGCAACAAATTAAACTCCTGCTGAAACTCTTAAGTGAAAAGGGCAATCACGCTAAAAAGACCAAAGCAAGGCTGAGGTGAGGGCTAGATCCGGAAAAAATTGGAGCCTGCTAGTTCTGGGCAAGGGCGGGTCAGCTGTCCTTGTGGGCTGTGCCTGCCTTTGGTGTATGCTGCTGCTGCTGAGTCTCTATTGGACAAAGGCGTGGTGCCCACCAGAGCTGTCTCCACAGCAGCCGGCTCAGCTCGGGTTTGCGTTCTGTGGGCTAATTTAGGCCATGGTGAGTCTCCCCCCAACCCCTACCTTTTCCAGTACCCTTCACTTCCTTCGGGAACTTCTGAAGCTTTTATCTGTTTCTCTCACTGGCATAAAGTCTGTTTTGTTTTCTTCCTTCTCTGAACACCTCTTTCTCTGCGCCTCAGTGGAGGAGTCTTTACCATTTTACCAGGAAGAGGGCAGCCATTATCTTCCCTTCCTCACCCCCACCCCCACGCCCTAGCGGCCTGTGCTTCCCTGTGGCCCTTGCTCACCCTCTCCTTTGCCTCTGTCACAGATGTGCTTGATGGCCCCTCCACCTACCTCCTGGGTTGGAGCCCTCCCTGACGGCTCTCCCCCTCAAAGTTGGTTTGAGCCGCCATTTTTACAGTGCACCCCAGTAGAGCATACAGGGGGTAAGTCCTCACGGCTGCACACCCAAACGTGTAGCTAGTCTGTGCTCTTGTGATCACACTTTGGACAAAGTGCAGTTTGTAAATCGTTTTCTTTAGGAAATAAAACCTCCCACTACCCTGCACTTCCCAGTGCTTAATTTGATTGACAGATGCGCTCAGATTTTTAGTTCTTCGAGTGTGATTTATCTATTCCTTCCAGGAGTTCTGTGTTTTGTTTTGTGTTTTTTTTTTTAATCTCTTTGTTCACAAAAATCAATAATTTCTTACCAATATTCCTTGGCATATCTTATTTTTTCCCCTTCTCATCCCTCACCCTGTGTTTGATAAGCTGTTGAAATATCAGACTGGAACCATTCTGGTTCTAGGGAATTCTCTTACGTAGTTTGTTTTTTTGGTGCCTTTCCTTTCTGCTTTTTCTGTGGTTCTTTTATTCCTCCTCTATTTTGGATGTTGGTCCTACTGCCTAATCCTTTCATTTGAAAAACATACTTGTTTCCTATTACTCATGTTGTTGTTGGTATGGTAATGATTGTGTATTCTGGGAGGCTTCTTAGAGAAAAGAAATGTATGTTTTCTTATTATTTATTTAGCTTGCTGGTTTCTCTGAGATCAAATATCTGGTGATCTTTGACCGTCCACACTCATGTGATGTAAATGTGATGACCAAAGAGAGTGGGGCAGATGGGTCCGGGAGCTTGACAACGAAAGGTCAGGAGTCTTGCCGTTCACGGTGACTTCTTTTCACTTGTTACCTAATTTCTATCCTCCATACTTCTGTGCTCTTTAGCCTCGGGTCTCCCTGACTGTTAAACACCCTCCCTCCTCTCTGGCAGGGGATCTGTGTGGTTCCCTTGGGGGGTAAAGATGGCAACTACAGGTTGGTGCTCTGCCCCTGGCCCACCTGGCACTCTTGGTTTCTGAGTTCCTTCCCAAGTTCCAGAGTACAGCTCCACTTACTCTGTATTGACCTTTCTTCACTGTGCAGCTGGGTTAAGATTTCCACGACCTGCCAAGACAGCTGCCATTTTGACCTCTGCTTTCCATCTTGACATGTATTTCTTGTCATTTTTCTTTGACCTCCTTAATGGTTTGTGCTTTACTTTTTTCATTTCACTGTGATTTTATTGAGGTTCTGGAAAGAATGCACACAGTACCACCTATTCGGACTCCAGGTCACCAGAATCCTTTCTTATTTTCTTTTTGCAGTACCTGAGGAGAGCTTTGAAGAGCTACAGAAGCACCCCAGGTACGTTTTCCTTGATAGATGTCCTTGTCAGCTCTCCACCCAGTACTAAATGATACTATTTTTATGGTTTACAATGAAAGCTTTTTAAAAGATTCCTGCTTGTTTTATTTATGTGTGTCTGTGGAGAACGAAAAAGGGTGTCAGTTCCCCTGAAGGTGTGGTTTCAGGTGATTGGAAGCCATCCGATTGCAGCTGCTGGAGAGTAAAGTTTGAGTGTCTGCAAGAGCAGCCAGTGCTCTTAACTGCTGAGCCATCTCTCCAACCCCACATTTTCATCTAGAAAGGGAAGAATTTGTTTCTCTTGTAGTAATTGTTTCTAGGAAGAATGTGGGAAATTGTTGAACTCTTTCTATTAAATCTAACTTCAATGTATCTACATTTTTGGTCTATTTCATTTGTATTTTTAAAGGAAAAAAATGTGCTGTCAATAAAGTAAGCATAAACCATTATTGATCACAAACTCCAAGCATTTTAGCAAAAGATCAGGTTAACTATCTCATAAAATTGAGTCAGGACCAAAGCCACTGTACGTTTTTTGTTTGTTTGTTTGTTTGTTTGTTTGTTTTTGTTTCTTTCTTTTCTATATAGATTTCGTATTTTGATTTTTAATTCTGTGCATGTGAGAGGCTAGGAGCACAATAACACAATGCCCAGAGAGGCCAGAAGAGAGGTGTCAGATCCCCCCACCCCCCATGGATAATTCTAAGGGATTTCGAACTTGGAGGTGATTTTGTGTTGGGAACCGAATTGGTCCTCTGGAAGAGCAGAAAATCCTCTGAGCCATCTCTCCAGCCGCCAGCATACCCTTTTGTTTTCCATGTGCCTTAGTATTTTGCCTGCATGTATGTCTGTGTGAGGGTATTGGATCTCCTGGAACTGGAGTTACAGATGGTTGTGAGCTACCATGTGGGTGCTGGGAAGTGAATCCAGGTCCTCTGGAAGAGCAGCGAATCCTCTTGAGCTCTGAGCCATCTCTCCAGCCCGCCCTCAGTGGTACCTTTTAAGGGATAGCCTGGCGGGGTGTATAGCATTAGTTGAGAATCTGAAGGAAGGGGTAGCCTATAGAGTCCCTCACGCTGTAACTACTTGGTAACAGTGTTCCAAGCCCTTGTTTTCTTGAGCTCTAAACCTAAAGCCAAATTAGCTAGTGTGGAAGTAGCGCTTGCTTCTGCCCGGGTTTCCTTGACTGGCATTATAGAAAAGGTAAGTACACTTCAGCCACTTGAGTGGCTTCTGTTTATGACACGGTCCTGAAAACATGCAGCAAGTGGTCTGCTTGGCTGGGGATCAGTGAAGGCCTAGCTGTCCACTCTGCTGAGGATGGCTTCCCAGTCCTCACAAAATATACTCTGATCGGCACTGCCAAGTGCACACATACCGTTTGGTCATCTATGAAATGTGGCTTCTTTCTTCTTGTGGTTCGACTACTTGGAGTATCTGTCACACAGTGCCAGCACTGACTAACAAACTCAGGGGACCTCATCAGAAGATTTGCCTCTGGTTCGGTTCCAGCAGTGTCCCTGAACCTAGACAAGGATAAATGACCCAGAATCAGGTCTGGTTTACCGGAATCAGGTCCGCTTGCTTTGTGCAACCCCTGAATTCTCCAGGGAAGCCTTCAGGTGGGACAAATTTGGAGCTGGAGAGGCAAGACTTCAGGAACGCTCCATGTTTATGATTAGATTGGTGGATGTGTTCCAGTCTTTGCCCCTGACATGCTAAGTTCAACTGTGTCCTCTCTCCTTGAGTCACTTGTTCTTTATTTGTTGGTGTTTGTGTGTGTGTGTGTGTGTGTGTGAGAGAGAGAGAGAGAGAGAGAGAGAGAGAGAAATGGACAAAGGCGGGAGCCTGTATGTACCACGCCATTCATTTGGAGATAAGAAGACAACTATTGGAAGCCATTTCTCTCCTATACTGGTGAGGCAGGATCTCTCTCTTCTGCTGCCAAAAGGTATACTCAGGAAAGCAGGCCATCAGCTTCTGGGTGGTTTTCCTGCCTGCCTCTCCTCTGTCTTTCAGAGGGCTGTGGTCACGGATGCACACCACCACCATCAGCTAACTCAGCTCCACTGGGCCACCTTTCTGGCCCCTATGTTTTAGTTTTGGAAGAACAGATCTCAATGAGGTCTTGTAGAGATTTTCCAGAGCGGAACACCTCTCTCCACATCACAACGTCTAATCCACTGCCTTAGAGCTTTTCATTGATTTCATGAGCAGGAAGAAGAGATTTGTGTATAGAAAAGTGTTCCAGGGACCTTTGAATACAAAAGTCAGGACAAAACTCAAACAGATTCTGATCAAATGGTATAGAGCATAGGCAGCTCTGTCAGTGTTGAAATAGGGAGTGTAAGGGCCAAAGTTAAACTGTACACTCTACTTGGCCAAGGACAGATACCCCCTGAAATGCTGGAGGCTGTTGTTGATGGGAGCTAGCCAGCCACATGGTTTTGCTCCCCTGAACAAGTCTGTTTGACCAACTGCACCAGACATGCTTAATCACATATAAGGAGGGAGTAGAGCAGGGTCTATGCTAGCTCCTGATTGGACCTGAGGGGAAATACAGCGGCCTCATGGTTTTTGCCTTTTAACGCCTCTGTAAAGTGTGACTCATCGCCATTTTCTGAGACCCCCCCCCCCCCGCTCTGGAATGGACGTGGCCAGAATCCATTCTGGCCAATATTAAAGTTTGCTCAAACTTGGCTCAAAAAGTTGTGGCACTGGGCTTTCTCTTGAGAATCTCAGGCTTAACAGGGGGTCTGTTCACCCTGAACTTGTGCAGTCAGCTGAAGTTTTTGCCTGTCATCTCGAACACCTCTTCCCAGTCGTGCAGCAGGCTTTTCCATCCATGGAAGGGCAGGAACTTTGTGTCTTTAAAAGTCTTTCACTAAACATGCTATCCTATGGCAGGCAATATGTCCCAGGGTTGGGGACCCACCCTGTAATAGGTGATCCCTAAATTCACGAGCCTTGTAGTCTAGAAGGCAGAGCCTCTCCTTCAGGCTTCTACCCAATGCCCAAGGCCATGGGGCAATTACTTAGCAGTGTAGCTAAGAAGGAATTTGAAGAATGCTAAGGTCAGAGTGAATTCTATTTAAATAAGTCACTTTGGGCAGAAACTTCTTCCCTCCAAGGCCTCTTTTTTTTTATTATTACTATTTTCTTTTCTGTCTGGGCTTCTTTTAGAAATTGTAGGGTTTGGGTGTGTGTGTGTGTGTGTGTGTGTGTGTGTGTGTGTGTGTGTGTGTG